TCAACCTGACCCCTGTATATAACTTCAATATCGAAAGAGAATCTAAATGGAGTACATTTTTGATAAAAATGCCCATACCAAAGGCTGTGTGGCAGAATAATAATCTCAAACTTTAGTTGGACACTTCAGCTATTTCTTTTGGATGCAATTCTTGTACAATACTGTCAGTTTCGCTATAGTACTGGTACATTCACATATAAAACAACTTACTGGGAATACTCATCTTTGAAATAATGATATTTTAGAGCTAATGAAAAATAAATAATTGTCTGTGGGAAAGTATCTTTCTCTTCTCTTAGTTTGTCAAATATCCAATAAAATATGGATACACTGTCCCTAGGAGTCTGGAATAATGTAATGCGGCTGTCTTTCAACTGGGACTGTAGAGATTTTGAGGCAGTTGTGGTCAGTGCAAGGATGTAACATCAGGTAAAACAGCGTAGATCACAGAAATTATCATGTACAAGTTAGGCCTCCAAATTAATCATTTCCTGATTTTTAAGAAGAAAAAAAATCTCTAATAAAATATGTACACTGAAATTTTGGTAGAATGAGCACTTTTATAACGAATTGCCTAAATAACTTAATGAACCAACACAGCTCTCTGTACATATGCAGTAGTGGGGGAATATGTTCACATATATCCTACATTAAAAATATTCGCATTTTATCAGAAAATATGAAATTATGAGTGGCTAAGCCACTTTTAAACTGCATTCCATTGACCATTCAACATGAACTTCTACAATTTATAACACACATAATGCAAACTATAATTTTAATATTGAAATCCTGAACTTTCATTAATGAAACCACAGGTGAAACTATAAAAACAGAAGCAGGTTTCTCAATTATACATGGGTAGATTAGTGATTTAACCAAATCCAGTTGGCTGGATGGCTTGGACATTGTTTTTTTGATAACAGATGTGTTAATGCCTCCTTCTTGCACACCTTAAAGAAAGGGGGAATGTGCACATTTAATATATCGCAATAACAAAATTGACTCGGCAAATAAATTATTCACGTTACTGGTTTATGTATATAGGTCACAGTCACGGCGTCACGTGAAGACAAAACTATTACTGTTACTCACAGGCGCTCGGACCGTTTAACGGTTAAGACGGGAGTAGGGAATGTTGATAAATACAAATACGAAAATTACTGACATGAAAGCCATAGGTTTATCGGAGACACACAAAAACATTGCCTGGCCGTAATACATTAACTCATAATGCAATAGTTAGATCGTGATGACTGTGTCAGTATAAAGTCGAAACAACTGGTGGTTTATATTGCGTCGAATGCGACTCGTTAACATGATCGGTGACCGCCGTCTCACCTGTGGTAATACAAGGTCATCAAAGTTGAAATCCAAATTATCTCAAATGAATTACATACATCAATCGTGATTGCTCACAAATAATAATTAAGTTTTTGTAAAAGTAACTAAAACTCATCTCAAATTCGAAATCCTCTATTGATTTCACATCGGTTCTAACATTACTTGCAGCCATCTTGAAATAACCTGGAACGATGAATCTGGCGCATGTGCAAAGTCAGACAGCTATTTTTGTAAGCTGCACTATGATTGGTCGACAAAACTCGTCGAAAACTGATCTCGTTTTACGAGATTGGTATAGGCATTGAGTCAGATGTAGTTAGAGGCGACTGGGACACAATTTTCTAAGAACTGATTAATGGCAAGAAAAAACAAAAAATCGACATATTCAAACTAAAATATATATAATATATAATATAAAGGGTTATAAAAAAAATATTATTGAAATGAGAAGACATGTAGTACAAAACCTAAAACTCCAATTGACAAAAGAATTTGCGACTTGTGTACTGCTATGGAAATTATAGAA